GAATTATGTGAGCTACAAACCAAAGCATCAAAGACTATCTCAAAATTTCAATCTAAACGATCGAAGAGTCTGACGGAAGAGTCTCGGTTGTATATTTTATATTTAAATAAGGATCTCAATATTTATAATATGGTAATTAGTTTGATTCAAAGGTAAGCTTAAAGCAATTATATATTCTGTAAATTCTTAAAAAAAGTCAATTCGTACAAAATAAATTTAACTACTGAATTAGACATAAACAAGACATCAACGATGAAGCAATCTGTCAACTCAGTATCAAATTTCACAATGAAGCAGAAAACCTTCTTACGCAAAATAAATTTGAAGATGCAGCTGATATGCTTCAATATCTATTGCGCCTATGTAGAGTTATTATACTGGATGAGATAATTGCAGGTTTTATTAGCTCAAATATTCTGCAAGATCTGTGTAGACTTCAATCCAAAGTTGTCAAGACTCTTTCAAAAGTTCAATTTAAACGATCAAAAAGTCTGATTGAAGAGTCTCAGTTATATGTTTCTTATTTAAATAAGGAACTCGATATTTATTATGTAGTAACTGAATTGATTCAGAGGTAAATTTTTGATTTCATGTAATTCTTCAATTCATTAAAAATGTAAAAATGTAACTCTTTTTTTAACCTATTAAATAAGGCATAGACAAGACATCAGCGATGAAACTATCCGTCAACTCAGTATTCACTTTTACAAAAAAGCTGAAAAACTACTTTCGTATAATAAGAACAATGATGCAGCTGATATGCTTCAATATCTATTGCGCTTATGCCGAGTCATTGTACTGGAAGAGACAATTACAGGTTTTACAAGCTCAAATACTCTGCAGGAATTATGTAAGCTTCAAACTGAAGTAGTCCAGACTATCTCAAAAATTCATACTAAACGATCGAAGAGTCTTATGGAAGAGTCTCAGTTATATATTTTTTATTTAAATAAGGATCGCAATATTTATGATTTAGTAACTGATTTGATTCAGAGGTAAGCGTAAGTTTTCCTGTATAATTTTCAATTCATAAAAAAAATTAGCATAATTATTGTCTAAATTAAGGCACAGACAAGACATCAACGATGAAACTATTCGTCAACTCAATAATCTCTTTCGCAAACAAGCAGAAAAACTTCTTTCGCATAATAAGTTCGAAGAGGCTGCAGATATGCTTAACCGTTCAGTTGATAATAACGATAATACAATTGATGCGGTTCAGTATCTATTGCATCTTTGCAGAGTTTTTGTACTGGAAAAGATAATTATGGGTTTCGCAATCTCAGATATTTTACAGGAATTACGTAGGCTTCATTCAAAAGCGGTTAACGTTATCTCAAAAGTTACAATTCAATCTAAACGATCAAAGTGTCTGATGAAAGAGTCTCAGTTATATTCTTCTTATTTAAATAAGGATCTCGATATTTATGATCTGGTTATTGATTTAATTCAGAGGTAAGCTCTTAAAAATCTTCAATTAATTCATTTTTTTTAAAAATAATAAGAATAAAAATAATAAAGCTTATCGCTGTTTAAACTATTAAGTCATAGACAAGATATCAACGATGAAACGATTCTTCAACTTAGTATCCACTTTCATAAAGAAGCTGAAAAACTCATTTCGTATAATAAATTTACAGAGGCAACTAATATTCTTCGGTACCTATTACACCTATGCAGAATTATTGTACTGGATGAGATAATTACAGATTTTACAAGTTCAAATATCCTACAGGAATTGTGTAAACTTCAAACTGAAGCGTTTAAAACTATCTCAAAAGTTCAATCTGAACAATCGAAGAGCTTGATAAAAGAATCTCAGTTATATATTTCTTATTTAAATAATGACCTTAATATTTATGATATAATAATTGATTTGATTCATAGGTAAGCTTAAACATATCTGATATATTTCGTGAATTTTCCATAAAAATCTTCAGTTAATTTACACAAAATAATTTTAAACTATTACATAAGGCATAGACAAGGCATCAATGATGAAATAATTCGTCAACTCGGCATATACTTTCACAAAGAAGCAGAAAATCTTCTTACACATAATAAGTTCGAAGAGGCAGCCAATATGCTTCAATATTTATTACGCCTATGCCGAACTATTATTCTAGAAGAAATATTTACAGGTTTCACAAATTCAAGCTTCGCACAAGAATTATGTAAGCTTCAAATTGAAGCATTTAAGACCATCTCAAAAGCTTATTCTAAAATATCGAAGAGTCTAATGGAAGAATCTCAGTTGTATATTTCTTTTTTAAATAATGATCTCAATATTTATGATATTGTAATTTATTTTATTCAGAGGTAAGCTAAGTTTACCGTAAAATCTTCAATTCATAAAAAAGCCTAATTCTTGATTAAATTATTAAATAAGGCACAGACAAGACATCAACGATCAAACAATCCGTCAACTCAGTATTCACTTTCAAAAAGAAGCAGAAAAATTGCTTTTGCATAACAAGATCGAAGAGGCAGCCAATATTCTTCGGTACTTATTACACCTATGCAGAATTTTTGTACTGGATGAGATAGTTAAAGGCTTTACATGCTCAAGTATCTTACAGGAATTATGCGAACTTCAAATTGAAGCGTTCAATACTATCTCAAAATTTCAGTCTGAACATTTGATAGAAGAATCTCAGTTATATATTTCTTATTTAAATAAGGATCTCAATTTTTATGATATAGTAAGTAATTTGGTTCAAAGGTAAGCGTAAATTCCATAAAACTTGTATTCTTTAAAAAAAAAAAAAAAAGAGCATAACCTTGCCTAAACTATTAAAAGGCACAAACAAGACATCAATGATAAAACTATCTGTCAACTCAATAACCACTTTCGTAAAGAAGCAGAAAAACTTCTTTCACATAATAAGATCGAAGAAGCCGCCGACATGCTTAACCGTTCGGTTTATAATGACAATAATGCAATTGATGCGTCTCAGTACCTATTACGCCTTTGCAGAATTAATGTACTGAAAGAGTTTATTTCAGGTTTTACATGTTCAAGTACTCGGCAGGAATTACATAGGCTCCAATCCAAAACGGCAAAGACTATCTCAAAAGTTCATTCTTCACGATCGAAGAATCTGATGGAGGAGTCTCAGTTATATATTTCTTATTTAAATAAGGATCTCAATCAAGTCAACGAGTGCAGAAAATTTTTCATGAAGGGTGAAGAGTTTGTCACCGAGTTTTTTGCATTAATTATGTGGCTGGAGATTCCCTCACCATCTGATATAAACATCAAGTATTGGGATGAACGATTGCAATGCCTGCTGAGACTTTGTAATTTGGCCTTTCCTTATATAGCCCCACAAAAAAATGAAGACATTGGAAAAATCACGAAAGAATTTGAGGACATTTTTTTATGCTTTGGGCGCAAAACAAGTAATCCTCAAAAGCTGAAAATTTTTTCTTACGACCCTCTTTATGTCATTATGGACACCAAAGAAAATGATGTATTTACGGACAATTGGAAAATTTGTGATGTGGATCATGTGCATCAGAAAATTTCACAGGTTCTCATCTCATATATCTATAAGCTTATTTCGAAAGTAGATCAAGATGGTAGAACTAATCCGAGTGTAGCTTCAATAATCTGCTATAATTATACACCATTGGGTAATTTTCAAGATTCAAATTACGTAAATCCGACACCGTTCCAGCGTCTGAAAGTTGCAAGACTCCAATACACTGTGGTTCGACGATTGAATGTATTATACCATCATGGACTTCTTAATATAGAAAGAAAAGAATTCCTTGCTTCACAAAAATGGTGGGCTGCAAATCTGGTTAAATGTCATATGAGATATCAATCATCGCATAAAAGCTTCCCAGAGGTGGCTCTTGCCAAACTTTCTATTAGCATTCGTGATGGCCTTATAAATGAAGCTTACAAAACTTGGTTATTTAAGAAGTCCAAGAATGAGGTTGTGTTTGATTGTATGTTTGTTATACGGCGGTTGCAGGAAATAAGCGCCATTGATGAGTTCTATCGGGAGATATCGAAATCAAAATTTATTTCACGCCCTAACAGCCTTCCAGAAAATTATCAATCGATTCCAGTTGGAAGAAGTCTTGCACAATTTTTCTTGTTTCTTTATTATACTAGTGAAGTGATTCCCGCGATCATAAGATCAAGGACTTTTATTAATATTGCCATAAAAAATATTAATAAGTCAATCTGGCTACATCCGATGCTTTTGGAAACCTTACTTCTCTCATGGAATTTGCAACGACTTTGAATTTCGCAGTTGATCAATATTGTTTTTCTCAGGTTTATCCGATTAATTACTTTGACGCATTTACCCAACAACCGCTCGTTTCGGATCGATGTACTCACAACATAAAAAAACTATCTTTCTACAATAATCAAGAAATACATGACTTGAGGCAGTTAATCTCAGGGAGAATTCTTGGTTAACGTTCACCATAAACGATAAACTATCGAAATTTGCTTATTTTTAAAAGTATGATTTTACATATAACGATAACTCTATTGAAGAAATCCGTCTTTTTCCCTTCGACGTTAATGTCTTCCGCTACTAGCATTCCGGAAGAACAAATCGCCATTTTGAAAATTAAATAAACTCTATAACATTCAAAATATATATATTGAGTTTTTATTTATTTTATTTAATTATTTTTATTTTATTATATGTAACAAAAAAGACTAGAATTTGTCGTTCCCCATTTATTTTTATTGTTAAATTATTTTACATTTGTACTCTCATTTGATTTGTATATATATTGAATAATGCAGATCATCAAATAATATTAAAAAAATTTTTTTGAATTTCGTTATCGGAATATTTAAAATCAGCGGGAATAATCAAAGTATATGATCCTATCAAAAAAAAAAAAAAAAAAAAAAAAAAAAAGAAAAGAAAAGATCAAAAATCTCTAATAATTAAATATATATAATGATTTGAGGATGTCATTATAAAAAACGCTTCATTTATTATTACGAGAATATTCGTTTGCCAAACGAATGACGTAAACTCTTAATTCACAGGATTCTAAATGACAAAACAACGAACTTTTCGATTATTATTCTTGTAATTGTCAAAAGTTACAATAATAACATCCTTAATTAGCTCGGTCGGCAATAAAAATGCAGCCGCTTAAATTTGACAAATCTTAATTTTGAAATTAATTTTTTACATTTGCATTCATACAAATTAATGCATTCACTTTTAATTATTTAACAATATTACTAAAATTATTTATTCGATCGAGTTGTCTTAGCAGATATAATTACGCGAATGAGCCAATAAAGTAAAGTCAACTTTTATTAATCACTATTACACATATAACTGTCTAATGCAAACCATTGACATAAAATTGGTTATGAACGAGAAACATAAAATATTAGTAACCATTCAACAATTATTAGTTGCTTTGATTTTTTTTTTTTGCATAAAAAAAAGTATTAACTAACTTATTATATTTTGTGCAAAAGTATTCCAAGCTCTTCGCATATACATTATATTAACAATACGTAAGGGTGAGTGAGGTATCCGCCCGAGAGTTTTGCTTACTTTATAAATTATTATGATCAAAGAAATAAATAAAATAAAAATTCTCAATAAAAATACACACCAGGACACCAAGTTTATCAAACAAATTCTCATCATTATTCGAGACACCTTTCCTAAATAAATTTTTGTTGGACTAGTTCCCATCATCTCCCCAAATTAGTTGAATCTACCAAAAAATCCTAATGGATTGGATAATAGTGAGGATTGTTGAAAATTGACACGGCATTTGAAGAAGTCTATCAATTGAGTAAATACGACTTAATATACGTTCCAATTATTTCCGATCCACCTTGATATTTTTTATCTTTAAAATTTTGTCGACCAAAAACCTCTTCCAAATATCTTAAAAATTCTTCTTTATTTAACCCTCCTTGGTAATCTTGAAATTTTTGCAGGGTAATTTTTGTATAAGTTAATATTATATCACATGCTCAGTTTAATTTACCATGTTTAACCTTTCCAAATTTAGAAATCAATTAAAGATATAAATATAATTGGAATGTTATTTTTATCTTTCCATTCTCCTTTCCTTTATTTTCGTGTTTTACTTCATACTCCCCTTCGTCCTTCGATTTTTATTTTTATACTAAATAAAGATGGTAAAACATAAACATTCTAGTAAGGGATCAAAAATCAAAGCTGCAAAAAAAAGAAAAGAAGCACGATTACAAAAAAAATTATTACGTCAAAACAGTAGGTCAAATTTTGTATTTCTAATTGTGTTTCATTCGTTATAGTTTAAAACCCTATATATTTTTGGAAGCACAACATCTGGACGCGCCGTTCTAAAGCGCGTTGAAAAACTTGTGTGGTTTATACGGGATGACCAGAAACCTATGACGATGTCTGATAGTGTGTTTCATTCGTTCTAGTTTAAAACCCTATGGATTTTAATTTTTTTTGTGTGGTTTATACAAGATGACCAGAAACCTATGACGATATCTGATTGTGTGTTTCATTCATTCTGGTTTAAAACCCTATGGATTTTAATTTTCTTGTGTGGTTTATACAGAATGACCAGAAACCTATGACGATGTCTGATTGTGTGTTTCATTCGTCCTAGTTTAAAACCCTATGGATTTTAATTTTCTTGTGTGGTTTATACAGGACGACCAGAAACCTATGACGATGTCTGAGTGTGTGTTTCATTCATTCTGGTTTAAAACCCTATGGATTTTAATTTTCTAGTGTGGTTTATACAGGACGACCAGAAACCTATGACGATGTCTGATTGTGTGTTTCATTTATTCTGGTTTAAAACCCTATGGATTTTAATTTTCTTGTGTGGTTTATACAGGATGACCAGAAACCTATGACGATGTCTGATTGTGTGTTTCATTCGTTCTGGTTTAAAACCCTATGGATTTTAATTTTCTAGTGTGGTTTATACAGGATGACCAGAAACCTATGACGATGTCTGATTGTGTGTTTCATTCTTTTTGGTTAAAAACCCTATGGATTTTAATTTTCTTGTGTGGTTTATACAGAACGATCAGAAACCTATGAAGATCTTTGATTGTGTGTTTCATTCGTTTTGGTTAAAAACCCTATAGTATTTTTGTGCTTAAAATCTTTGTGAGGTTTATATATGATGACTAGAAACCATTAAGTTGTCTTAATTATTCTCCTACTGGTATTATGATATACTAACTAATTTTATTTATAAAATGTAAATAGATATGAAAGTTGCTTGTCAAACAGAAGAAACGTCTACAAATGAAGTTGGTTGTCAGACAGAAGAAAGTGCACCTCCTGCAAGAATAGAAGAATCAGCTCCTCCTAGTAACGATAATTTATCTCCAGAAAGAGATAGGAGAGCTTTATGGGAAATCATCGGAGAGGATGCATATTTAGAAGTAATATTCTTTTAATTTACATTTTAATTATTTTTTTTAAAATTAATTATTATTTCTAGATGTATCCAACGATTCCAACGAGAAGCAGGAGAAGAAAAAGAGGAAGAGTAAGAAGATGAAGAAATCGTGAATTTACAGACTTACGAGATTTTTTATATATTTTATTTTAAATAAGTCTTCAAAATTTTTTTTTAATAAAATTATAAAAACAAAAAAAAGCAAAAAAATTTTTTTTTTAATGCTTTGAATTATATTTTCCTAACTATTATTTCTGCGAAATGTCTCTGAGTACAATATAGTTTAATTTCGTGACTACTAATGAATTAGTGATCAAAACTAAATTTATAAATAAAAATAATTTCAAAGCTTATGTTTGAATAAAACTGTTAAATGCACTCTGCCATGTTCAAATTTGGTTGTTACATAACACTTTCTGATAATAAATAATGATCAAGAAATATGAACGTATACTCGTTAGTTGTGAATGACATTACTAATTTTCAATGGAATCGAAAAAATACTCCCAAAATTAGCTAGTTAATAATACGTATAAAGACGATACCACTTTTAAAATAATAAATTAACTAACCGTCATATATCCACATGAGATATTAATTATTTGTGCACAATTGATCGGTTTGCTATTAAATTAAATAAATTTCAGTTCAAAAAAATAAAGTAAGTTAATGAGAGCTACTTTTCATCTTCAAATTCAAATACACAGTTTTTGAAAAAAGTGTCGTATTATAATTTTACATTGTATTAAATTAGTCTTTGCATCATCAGTAAAATAAACTCGGAATAATCCAAAAAGTATTAAAACTTCATTACATAGGAAATCTACGAATATACGGCAAATAACAAAATAACAAAGTTCTTATATTATTTATTTAACTGTTTCATTAATTCTTATTATTTATTATTGGTATCGAATCCATATGGCAGCAAGGAATGATTTAAAGTTTTTCATCAATGAATACAATCATCATGTCGATATAATTAACTTTGTATATTGGTTTAATATTTAATTTTATTTATATTTGTTTAACGGAAAAAGATGTTTTCTTGTAATTATTAAATAAAAGATTTTAATATTAAGATAATGAAAGATGATTTGTCGATACAGAACTATTGAATAACAAAGATAACTATTGAGCTTATTTCCATGTAATAAACGATAATCACCAAGCAACTCAATGTTCTTATTTGATATTATGCGTTCAAGGAATCTGTAACATACAAGAGTTATTTAGTAATTTCAGCAGAAGAATACTATGATAGAAATTTTTCGTAAATGTAACATAAGTTTGAAATTTGATTCCGATTATTAAATGTCAAAATCTATGCTTTTGGAAGTATATTCTATGAATTAGAAATAATTAATTAATTTTGTGGAAATTTATTATTTACTTTGCTTATACTAACCATAATTAAAATTGATACTTTTAATATTTACACCTAAATAAAAATAAAAGATTAATATTGACATTATTTAGATATTTATGGCGATGCAGTTATTTACCATGTATATTACTTTCAGTATTATTTGTAGGTCCAATTTCTGGTGAAATTATAATGTTATTTGCCACTTTTTCTTCATTTAGAATGATTTTACTAATAAGCTTAAAAATATCACGAGAAGTTGGCCTTTTATTTGGATCAGAATCCCAGCATTGTTGCATCAATTCAATATAACCTTCGGGTGCATTTGTAACTATCGGAGGACGAGCGCCATCAATAATTTGAATCATAAGGTCTGTATCACAGTCTCTATCCTCAAAAGGTCTTTTACCATTCATTAATTCCCACATAATCATACCGAAACTATATATATCTGCAGCTTTTGTATATGTATTGCATTCTTTCCCTTGAAATATCTCAGGAGCAATATAAGGCATGATTCCATAATAATTCCTTTCATCATCTGATGAATCAGTTGATAATTTACTAATTCCTAAATCACTTGTAACAATATCTGATTCATTTTCGATAAGAATATTTCCACTATGAAAATCTCGATGAATAATTTCTTGTTTATGAATAAAGTCAAGTTCTACAAGTATTAATTCAAAACTATTTAATTTTTTATCCAATTCAAGATTATAAAAATTTTTTTTATATAATGATATAAATCATATTTATAATGTTTCATAATTATTATGAAATCTTTTGTATCTGGATTTGAATAATTCCATAATATCTATTTATATATAATAAAGATTCAAAGAATCTTTTATTTAAGTTAGCATTATAAATGATCTTAAGCTAAATTTAAAAAAATTAAATCAATATTGTTTTAAAAGTATAATACCTCATTTAACTCTTTAGAAGTAATATTTTTAATATTTTTAGAATTTTTAAGTTGTTTTAAAGCAACATTAAATTAGGATCATAACATTCAAAATCTTCTTTTTCTTCATTCCAATAAGGTGGACCATTATTCTAAATAGCTTTATATACTTTACTAAATCCTCCTTCACCAATAATTTCTATATTTTGAAATTGATTATAAGAAATAAATTTCATTTTACTAGATTCTTGAATAAAATTAATTTGTGTATATTTAATAAATTCATCAACAATTTTATTCCACTTGGTGTATATAATAATTCAGATTTATAACAAATTACACAAATTCTATTACAATCCTTTAATAATCTTCTTTTTTTAAAGCAATTATTACATATACTATAACTTACATTTTCTGATTCAATAATAAATCCTTTTAATAATGAAATTTTATTAACAATATTATTTTTATAACTATTTTTTTGTATACTCATTCTATTTTATTTTCAGCAAATTTTAAATACCAATAAAGTGCCTTTTCTAAATTTGATTCTATTCCTATGCCACAATAATATAAACAACCTAATTCATATTGTGCACATTTGCTTCCATTTTCTGTTGCATTTTTCATCCAAAAAAATGCTAAATAATTGTTAACTTTAGTTCCAAATCCATTATAATAGCATCTACTTAAATATAATTGTGCTATAGGATAATCGTTTACAATTCTTTGGAAGCATATAAATACTTCACTGATATTTACTAAATCAGGAATATTGTAATAATAAATAATTCCAAGAAGAAAAACATACCTTGGGTTCGTTCTGATTTTCTTTAAGCCAATTAAACATCTGTAGATCGAGTAGAAAGAGTAATGCATGCATTAATAAAGCTCTTTGTTTCATTAAATCTTTGCCTTTATCTTGAATTTTAATTAAAAGCATGAATAGTTTGTGAATAATAATATTGATATCGTCTGTTGAATTAATCGTTTTTAATATGCATTCGTGATATTTTGCTTTTGTATTTATCATCTTGTATTCATATGTTGAAAATTTTTATTATGTTATGAAAGTGAACTCTCACTTTAGTTAACTATTAAAAATTTTTCCTAATAAAAAAATTAAGGAAAATAACTTTTTTTTGTTATACTATTGAAATGTGTTCGAATGAATTATATATAACCTGGAATTTCGGAAATTTTCTCCGTCCCGAATTAAAATCGATAGTATTGTGTGTGATCACGCTTATTTTATTTATATTGTGCATAGATTATACTGCATGACAATGATATGTATAGTGACACAAATATACACAATTGCAATTGATAAAATATACTAAAAAAAAAGATAAAAATAAATAAAATATAATTGTCACCAGAACAAATGAAGTTCGATTGAGCATGTTTTTTGGAAAAAGTTTAATTCGCAATTAGGAGTCTTCTTACTGCAGAGATTGGCAATACTTTAGCTTAACGTTAATATTTTTTGCAAAAAGAAATTTCCAAAGCTAAAAAGATCTTATTTTTTTCTTACACTCCCATCAATGTTAAAAATGTGTTTGCATTTATAATGAAAATTAAATTGAAAATAAATATTTATAGCGAATCATAATGCTTGACTCAAAATTTTTCTCACGTGCAAGATGAGCCGCTTCCAAATCATTTCAAAAGTTTAGGTTTCTTAATTAAAAGGTTTTGAAATTTCCGTATTAAAGTTTTCCAGCGTATATATGTGTGGGTGTATGGCAGTTAAATAGAAAATGAGAAAACTCTAACAGAAAAATTTTTTTTGAGCTAATGTTAAATTTGGATAAATATAATTTTTTTGTATTTTCCTCCCTTTCTACTATGTGAATAAAATCAAATTAATCGTAGAGAAATTTTCACTAAAAAAATAAAACCACATAATTATTAAAGTTTCAAGCTACCAACATTTATTTCAGATCTAGAAACACATAGTAACGAAAATTTAATAATATAAAAAAAAAATTTAACTTACGTTATGGAAAAAAAAAGAAAAATAATGATATGATCTAGAGCAATGTGCAAAAATCCGACTTGCTTCTTAAGATTGCGGTTAATAATTCGCCGATTTACTTTCTCTATCTGTAAATTTGTGCGCAATATTTAGGTATAAGTGCAACATTTAAAGGACGGTAAAACTTAGTACTTTTTATTTATTTCGATGAGAAATAATAAATCTTGAATCAAAAATTATTTCTTAAAATACAGTAAGTCTTTTCTTTATATAAAAATTTGTTAATTTAGGACTCTTATTCAAAGTCAAAGATATTTTGGTATCAAGTGAGTTGTAAGATTTTACAACAAACTAAAACTTTTTGATTGATTGTTGTGAGTATTAAGAAGATTAATAATTATTTTTTAATTACATAGGAACAGATGAATGCTTTGCCATCCGATCTTATTGATTTAAGTTAACTGCTGAATCTATTCGACCATTTACAACGAAATCGGAGTGGGAAAAATTTGGTAAAATTTGTAGCTCTAAGAAAGTATTTTGACATGAGCGAATTGGGGTTGATGCATGTGTTGTAAAAGAACTAGATCAAAACTTAGAAGCTTTGGTTGGTGAATTGTAACCTCGCCGTACATGCAAACAACAATTTGTGGCGCAGTACCACTATTTATCTACGAAGCACTTTAGCGATTACGTATTTAATGTCAAATAATAGATGATAGTGAATAGTTTAACTCTTCCTATCATTGTTGCATCCACATCGATGCTGCCTCATCTTTTCTCACATATGCTTAAAGCAAGAGAAAAAAAATGCCAAGACTTTAATCGTTACCAATGGTAACGGTTTTTGTCAAGAAAAATTTCACTTATGAATTAACTATAACATCTTATCATGAATTATGCGAATGGGCAATCATTCAATGACTTTATCGCCCGGATGGATGCTCCATATATTAATATTCGATACAAATAACAAAAGTTTTTACTTCATTGGTGAATTGCTACTTGAGGTTATTACGTAAGCTTACACTAAGCAGTCACAACATACATTTTTAATTTTCGATGTGCAATGACTAGCATTCATATCTATTTTATTATGCATTAATAAAATGGATAGTATTCTATTAAAACTGAGGTAAAGATCATATGATTTACTATGTCTCGTAACCCACTTTTAATAGATCAGCTCCCAAATTGTCTAAGCGAGTAATACAAGTATGAAAAAAAATGTATTAAACATTATAAGCCAAAATTAATAAAGATTTGAATTTCGATCAAATTAAATTTCATGATATTACATGTTTCAATTTTCAAGGAGTTAGAGGAATACCAAATAATCTCGACTTAATTTCTTCATAAGAAATATGTCGCACATCTGGGTATTCCTTAACTTTACGTGTATGGTTTATTCCACCAGGGCTGCCACGAATATAAACAATTTTGCAAAAATCACAGAACTGTCAATCTTTCAAAGCTGAGGATGTCTTGATTACATTCTTAGGATTCTTGGTATCAACCGTTGTAATGAGATCAATCTTATGGATACCGCCACATTGTCGTCTATTTAGTTCTTATTTTCATCATTCCGGTCGAAAGCCAATTCAATTTTGGCAGAATCTGTATCATGTGTAACAAAGTTGCTGATGGATACTTAGAAGTATGTATATCCAAGAATAAAATCGAATCTCGGATATCCCTTATAACAACGCACCAGGAAATAATCTACGTATTTATCAGGTTGTTTCTTGAGTAACTCAAAACTCTTGATATTTAAATGAAGTTTAAATTTATTATTTACAGCGATATCCGTTGTTTCTAGTACTTTATTAGGAAGTCGCATAAGTGTTGGAATAGAGCATCTTCAAATGTGCACTGTCTATATTATCCTGAGCAAGAGCATTGAGATAAGCTTAAGGTAATAGACAAAATTGTACAAATCCATTAGCGCTTCCTTGGCAGCTAGACAAATACGATCATACTGCGTCACATATCTCAATCTGATGCACAATTCCAAAAATCAAAAACTGCCACTCAAATCGTGCTGTGTTTTAAAAATTACCAGGTAGGAATATATCTGCAAGAGCAAGACGGGTTTACATTTTTGAGGTTCCAGGAAGGGAATGATAATAAGTTTTAATAACGTCAAAAAATTGTTTTACGTCGAATATCTTTGAACAACTTCAGAATCTCCTTGACTTTCATCTTGAGTGCGGGAATCATTTCCAATAATCTTAGCTAAAATATGAGCTAACGATATAGTTGGTGATTCTTCTTTAATGGTAGATATGAATCACAAACAGTCGGATAGAAGTGGAGAAATACTGCATCATTCAATTTGTAAATATTTTGATGATAACGGCCCAACATAAACAACCGGATAAGACGTTATCTTGTTAAACTGTTAAAGACTTTTTTTAACCGGTTAAAATATTTAATTTTAACTACGGCCGAAATTTAATTTTCGGCCAGAATTAAGATTTTTATGATTACAAAATTTCGCTAGTTCTACCCAAATTAATAATGCCAGCCTGAGTTAAATTTAACTGGTTAATTAACTGTTAAAGAATTTTTTAACTGGTTATTAACCGGATAAGGATTTTTGGGCCGGTTCCAACCTCTATCCAATCCTGCATTCCATTCTCAAATCGTGCGTGAGCTGTTTCAGTTAGAACTATACAAGTTCTATTCCCCAAAAGTGAGCCTTTCAAGAACCCTATATTGAGACGATCAAGTTCTGGGGTTGTATCATCAAATGTTTCCCCATACTTATCAACAATAATGAGAGCTTTTTTATGGATGAGAAGTTTGTCGAAGTGCATTATTAACCGCTGAGGATGATCCAGATTCTGTTGTGATGAGTAACTAAAGATCAGCAGATGTCAAAAATGTTTGCATATCTCCATTTGTGCGCAATAAGTTGTAGTATAGACGCGTCAGCAATGTAAAGTGTTAGTGGTTTCACCCGAAACACTAATACGATGACTATCAAGTTTTTTCCAAATGTTCATCATTAGTTCAGTAATGAGGAATTATGTGTCCTGGTACTATGACCCTTCTGCGAAATGTTTTGGCAGCTGACCAAGATTCCTTGTCGTAATTTGACTTCTGACCTTCACATTCAATAGAGAGGCCAATTCTGAACGAGGGTCAGGCTTAAATTCTCTGTTCATGAGCATATCTATTATCATTGGCGGCAGTTCCAAGGACACGTTATCAGCGGCGGTGCACGACGTCATTTTCTATCAGGACCTGCAAAAAGTAATAAAACATAAATATGTTTAGTAAATATGACACAGCGCTATCAAAGCGTCAAGTTCATGTTAACCTATCATTACTACGCAAAGGCTTACCTTGATTTTCATAAAAACATTTTAATCGTAGCGTCACAAATATTATTAACGGCAAATATTTTATCTTGAGGAAAGCTTTTAGAAGTGCTTTGACTTGTTCGAGATCAAGAGTATCGATGATTTCATAATCATCATAGTAAAATATCTAGGAAGAGTTTATAGACAGGATGAGTGTTTTATAATTCTTGGAATGGTTCAATTGCAACATACTCAGATGGGAATATATAGTTTAATGATTCTGGCCTAAATTTTCACCGATTATTGTACCTATATAATATGTTGATTATGTACCTATAGAAATATTATTAAAGGCTTTAATAAGATAATAGCTTTATATTCTCACGGTTGAGCAGCTAGAATGTGTTTTTATGATATCATTGTTGTCTCATTGAATTAAATAATTCTCCGATAGCTCATTATATGTCAAAAAAAATATTGAATCTTCAGTTTTTCAATGTTATTTTTTTATCAATATGGCTAAAATTCGTCCATATTTTCTCTAAATAGATTCCTTATAACATATATAATCACTAATTCGATAAATTTTCAAAATTATACTGATACAAATATACATATACCTTATTTGATTATAATAGTTTCCTGGATAAAATGAGTTTAATGAGTTCATTCTCCCTAAAGCTCACCATGCCAAAATTTAGTTTTCCTTTATCTCTTCAGAAGGATCAAAATATATTTTTTTCGAATACAGAAGGATTATCAAATAATATCTGAAACAGATAATAAGATGGTTTAGCAATATATGATGTTAATGGAGTTTTTTTTTGGTAGATATTCTAATATTATGTGTCTAAATAGTAACCGTTAACTCATCAATACGAAATTGAGGATATTGCGAATCATCATTTAATGGAAAAGAAATTCATTAAAGATGATTTTATATCAAATTTGGTAGAGAAAATAAATACCAAATCATATTATGTAATTTTAGACTACTAATTTATTAAACTGGTAAATATATCCATATTTGGAAAATAATGCAAATTACGACTTTTTAATTTATTTTCGTTTTTCAAATGGTGTATGTCATCTAAAGACATGGACGAAAATATATCAAATTTTGTAAACAAATACGATATCTCGCTATTAAAATATTAAGTTTGAAACTTCCAAACTTTTGACTTTTATCTTCTAGGCCATGTACTCATACCGTTAGCAACTGCAATCAAATTATCAAATCTAAATTTAACTAGAGCAAGAAAGAAAAAAATAGTAATGATGTCTTTTTAACAGTCCGTATGAATTTTTTAAACTCAAACAAGACATGAAATTCAATACTAGCATCGCAAGTAAGAAACGAAAGCACAAAGTTGTTCAGTTAATTATAAAAGCAAAAAAAAAAAATCAGAAAAATTTTCTTTCATAATTGTCTTAATCTTAAAAATTCAAAGGGAGATCAGTGAAGCTTGTCAGCGAGAGAAATTAAGTGGAAAATGGAAGCTTTCCAAATTATTTTTGCTAACGATTTAGCTATCAACAAAAAGAAGAAGAAGCACCGCCTAAAGAAGGGGTTAAACAAACAGAGGACAGTTCTTTAATCAAAACACTTATCTGAAACTTTTTGTTAAAAATTTTAATATACAAATTAATATCACTTTTCACTATTATTCGCAAAAATATTTCTTTCTTTTACCTTTCTTCCTTTGCTTTAAACATAACAAATATAGAAAAATTATTGACTATAGTAATTATCGTGATTTGAACATATGTATATAAATATAATTTAGAAATTATCATATATACTTTGTGTAGTCAGCTTATTTCATTTTAGAATTTTAATTCCATCGTCAATCATCTGCTAGTGTGCAAAAATGGTGATGTCACAATGGTAATTCTATAACATCAAAAATAAACACCTGAAATTTATACCAATATCGGCCATTGAATCAAAAGATTTAATTTCTATAAAATCCGATTATTTGTGTAGCACAATTTTCATTATTGCTGAAACTATGTTCCGGTTGACTCCTCCTTGTGCAACAATATTTTTTTTGGATGTCTGGAATGTACGATATATCCCTGCTCATCGTATGTTAGTGAGTGAATGACTTTTTAAGTCAACAGCTTTGGAAAAATGCAAAAACCGAATTGATTGATGTTGAGGCATTTTTTCCAAATTCAATGCTGTACATATAGTATATGAGTGTCATGTCTCACTTTCTGAACGATAAAGCAAAAGTACGATAAAATTATATTATTGTACTGTATTAGCAAATTGACGTCAGGACTGTGGAAATCCAATTTTTGGCGCAGTCAATTTCCGAGAGTGAAACATATAAAAAGCTTTTAATTCCTCTAATTATTAAAATTTTATTTAAATCCTACTATTGAACCTAATATTAACATTTTACTATCTAGGAATAGAAAGATTGATGGAATCATTGATTCACAAATCGTTGATTTAAATATTATTTCACTCATTTCAAGATGTGTTGATAAAATCTTAAAAGAATTATTTTATAGGTTTCTGATTATTTGACTTTTTCATTTAATTTTATTAAGAATTTTATGGAATTATTAAATATTGAAAGAAAAATAATTTATTTTAAGAAAATAAAATTGTTTAGATTATTGGTACTTTGATTTGTGTATTTTAAAAAAAATTTTTAATAAGTTATCATATTAAATCAAATTAGAATCTTTATTTAGTTATTTTATTTATGAGTAGTAATGTATGTTAACTTGATTTTGTATTTGCTACTGAATTTGATTATATATAAATTCATACACTTGATTTTATTAATATAAATAATGGTATTAGAACGGCACAAATCCTTAATAAAAATATATTTTTAACCATTTAATAAGTTTAATTTCTAGTTAGTATAATAGTGTAATTTTTCGAATCTGGCTGCCCACCCTTCCATTTCGTGATACACGCTTTTTAAAGAAAAATATAAATATATTATACCGTAATTACAACTTCATAATATTTTCACATTCACAAAGTTTTCAAGTTTTAGATCTCTGTCTACTTTTTCAGCTATAGATGCATCGTACCTACCCTTATTAGCAGAAGTAGATTCGCTGCCAACAAGTCATGATAGAATGTTACAATCTATAAGGTGGGTAAAAGTGATTTTTACAAATAATTATTGTATTAAATTTACGTTTCGGATCTTATTCCAGTCGCGTTTCTACGTGGAATAAGTACAAGAATTAAATGTATCTACTGCGGGTCTTAAATCTTCTAAACCATTTTAGCTAAATCGAAAACAATGCGTGCAGAATATACAAAAAAAGATTTTATAAATAACTCTGATCTAATTAAAAAAAAAGTAATATAGAAAAAAAGATGAAATAGCTTCTTTTGATTACTTATTTTTATCCACAACAAATTCAATTATAAAAACCCATTCGAAATGCATTAATCCTTCTTAACGAAATTTCTCATTTCATACATATATTGTGATATGATAGTATGCGAGTAAACATCCTCTGTTCCTATGTACCTATAATTTTGTTTTCCCATCTTTCACCATCGATTTACCCCCCTTTCTTAAAAAAATTAGGTGAATGAGTGAGCACCGAAGCGAATTTTGGGGAGGAGAAACGGATCGATTCGAGGGTGAGGGAGGAGACGTATGAACGATCTGATGACGAATTTAAGGGTGGAGAAGATATGAACGAATGATTTCATGATTTTAGTTTTTGTTTCAACTTTTTATTTGGTCAATAATAAAAAAAATATATATATATATTTTTTTTGAATTTGTAAATCCCAAGTCCAATCGTATAAAATAGTATGTTTTCACGATATGTACGATATCCAAACTTATCAGTAAGTTATATAAAATCCTGAAATAAATAATACAATTTGCCACCCACGAGAAACAAATTTTTTCTGGCATATCAATTGGAATTAAGTTTTCAGACTTTTCGGAGATTCGGGATACCTCGATACGATAGAATATATATGTCAAAATGACCGTTTTTGACATAACGAAACGATCAATCAGCATTATCGTCAGTCAAGCTGCAATAATTATTAATCCTGCCAAGAATTCTATAACTAAGCCATGGGAAGAGAATTATTATAAAAGGAAGGGTTTTTCATCTTGCTTTTTAAGTAGAATAAGATAGATTTTCTTTTCTCTTGAGGCCTATTACAGAGCGCCGGCAGAGACAGTAATAGTTGCATTTATTTTATTTTTCATTTTTATTTAATAAATTCATTTCCTTGTAATTGTCTCAATAAAAACTTTATTTAAATTCTACATTCGATTGTTTTATATACATATTTTCGCTATACTACTTTGTGTCCTATACTAAACCCAATAAACCTAATAAATATAAATCGCCTCTTACGAATTTAGGAGGTGACATATGGATGAACCTTTTCAAAGAAATCTTTGGAAGTTAAACTAAAAAAATCTAATAAAGGGTAGACAATGTTGTAAGGTATCTTTCATCGTTTTGAAATCATCATCCGATCAAGTTGAAGGATCAGAAATAAGCGTAGGAGTGTTTTCAAGTCCCCATTTTAATACGTGTTCCCAAACTTCAATTTCTTTCATTTGTAATTCATCTCTTTTAATAAGTGAAATTAAAGATTTTTCAGGAAGCGATGTAAAATCAAGTGATTGAAATACTTTTTCAGGAGCTTTAGCCATAAAATTTGTACAATACACTTGAAGTTTTGACAAAGAATTAAATTGAAAACTAGTTCTATGAGTAAGCTCAAAATGTTGTTCCATCCATTCAGATTATTTTCAATCAAATAATTCTGTAAATATTCAACTAGTTCTTGCAGAAGAAGCTCTTCGGCAGCAACCAATACTTTTAAAGTATCTGAAGAATCTTATTCGTCTAATGAAATAATTCCACCATAAGTGTACCTACATCATAAAAAATTTATGATTATTTAAAGATAAAGAAGTAAATAATAATCATATTCTTGGATTTGGTGTATATACTTACTTCAAAATAATTTGAAAAATGTTTGGGGAAATATTTGGCAACTTATATGAACTAAGGTATCTTTATTATCCTTTTTATTTGAAGATAACTTTCGTCACAAAAATGGAGAACGATAACACAATATAATCATATGTGCTCGAAATATTTTCACATTTGGATCTTTGCCAACTTCAATTGTAATATCATCAAATTCATCTAAATTTTCAATATTATTTGGATAAAAGATGTCTCGACATTTTTATTAAAAAGTGTAAAATCCATGCTTAAATATTTCGTGTAACATTCCCGTCAGGTGTCACCTATACCTATAATAGGAAATTCTAAATTTAAACAATACCCTTTTGTATAAAAATCGTCTTTTTTAAAAAAAAAATTTATTCTTTATGAACAATTTATTGGTAAGATATATATTTTATTTACGATTACATCGATTCTTTGAATTCGAATTGTGATTATGATTTAAATTGTTTTACAATTTGAATTAAATAAATGTTCATCAAGAGTTATTTGAATCGATTTTTCAGTTACTAACTATGTAACTTACTCATCATCTTAATTCTTTTCTCTTTTTTTTTCCATATTTACTTTCACTCATATCTAATTTAACAAATGCTCCAAATTAAACTAATGAAATATGATTTGATTTTCTCATGTATAGGGGACATACATCCAAGAACCCTAAATTACCCGAATCATTAGCGCAGAGTAAACATAAGATAGTTTTCATTGGTCCTCCCAGTTCAGTGATAAAATATCATACGATGGATTGGAGTGGTAATGGTGTCACCCAAACTGAATTTGATGAACAAGGTCATGTTATTGTTTGTTAAGGACGTTGATGATGGTAAGTAAATCCTATCATGATTAAAGCTTCAGAGGGAGGAGGAGGAAAAGGAATTAGAAAAGTGAAAAATCCAGATAATTTTAAGCAAACATTTGCTCAAGTTCAAGTTGAAGTTCATGGTTCACTGATTTTCATCATGCGATTTGCTCGAGATGCTCGTCATCTCGAAGTTCAAGTTTTAGCGGATCAATACGGAAATGCGATCACCTTATTTGAAAGAAATTGTTCAGTTCAAAGGTGTCATCAAAAGATCATTGAAGAGGCTCCCGTTACAATTACAAAATGGGAGACATTTGAATCGATGGAAAGGGCTGCTGTTAGATTAGCTAAATTAGTTGGTTATGTTAGTGCGGGAATCGTTGAATATCTTTAGTCATAAGAAAGATTTTTTTTTTCCTTGAATTAAATTCAAGATTACAGGTTGAACATCCTACGAAAGAAATGGTTTCAGGTGTGAATTTACCTGCTCAATTACAAATCGCTATGGGAATTCCACTTCATCAAATTCGTTCTGAGATCGATTTTGATTTTTCGGATCCACAGTCTCCAAACTCAAAGGAGACTTGCACCAAAACGTCATGTAATCGCCGTTCGTATAACAGCAGAAAATCCTGACGCTGATTTAAACCAAATAGTGGTATGGTGCATGAACTTAATTTTTGAGCAGCACGAATGTTTAATTCTGCCAGTAGCCTTCATGAGTTTGCTGATTCTCAATTTGGTCACATTTTCGCTTATGGGGGAGAATTGTCAACGATCTCGAAAGAATATGATAGTCCCGCTTAAGGAATTATCGACTCATGAGGACTTTAGAACCACAGTGGAATATTTAGTCAAATTGCTTGAAACCCAAACTTTCGAAGCAAATAGGCTTACAACTGAATGGTTAGACATGTTAATATCTGATGAAAAATCTAACGGCCGATAAGCCTGATAAAAGGTTAGCTGTGATATGTGATGCAGTGACAAAGGCTTATACAGCGGCCATAGAATCCATAATGGTATATAAACGTTACTGGTGAAAGGAAAATCCCTAGCAGATATATATTGCGTACCGTCTTCATCATCGATTTCATTTATGAAGGCGTCCATTATCAATTTACTGCTACTATATCAACTCCAGATTCTTTCACGCTTTACTTGAATGGGTCAAGGGTTCAAGTTTATGTTCGTACTCTTACCGATGGTGGGTTATTAGTTTATTAGTTTTGTTAGACAGAAAAAGCTATACTTGTTATTTTTGCGAAGAATTCAAGGAATAAGTTTGATGATTATTAGTAAAACTTGAACAAGAAAATGATCCAAAACAACTTCGTTCACTCTCTCCTGGAAAGCTTGTGAGATTTTTGGTGGAGTCTGGCGATCATGTAAAAAGAGGTGATACTTACGCTGAAATTGAAGATTTACAATTTTATCGTTTTGCAAAAGAATCATTTTAAGTTTTATTTTTTTATATCTCTAAATTATTTAACATTGATTATTATTTAGGTGATGAAAATGTATATGCCGCTTATCGCAACAGAAGATGGTATTGTTCAATTATATAACAACAAAATTCTACGCTCGAATCCGGTGACATTATTGAAATTTTCACTCTTGATGACCCTAATCGAGTTCGTTACCTTTTGAGGGGCAATAAATCCGCCCGTTTTAGCCAGTGATAAAGCTCATCAGAGATATTGAGAGGTCAAGCATATCCTTGAATGTATATTGGATGGTTACGATAATCAAGCAATGTTACAGAGTAGCGTCAAAGAATTAATCGAACTTTTAGAAAATTCCAATCTTCCTTATTTAGAATCTCATGCAATACTTTCAGCACTCCCCGGAAGGATCCCGGCCAAACTTGAAGCAGCTTTATTGAGAATTTCTAATAAGACGCATAGTCAACAATTAGAATATCCTGCTAAATGATTAAAAGAAATGATTGATAATTATTCTCTCAATTTTATCAAACCTTCAGACCTTTCAATGTGATCGCTCCCGTGAATGACATTCTTGAACAATATGTTTGTGATCTAAAGCACCTAAAGTGGAATGATGTCACTTATTTGTTAAGCAACTATCATATGTTGAAGTTTTATTCACGAATTCTAACAAACGTGAAGAAGAAGCTGTTCATGCTTTACGGACAAGTATTCTCAATTGTTTGTCACATTCCAAAGTTGAGGTAAAGAATATTCTGATATTACATCTTTTAGATCAGATTAGTCCCGCAAATGTTGGACAAGCCCTTGACAAATTCTGATTTCCTGCACTTTGAATGAAGAAATAAAAAGAAGTATATCACGAATTTTAAATTATTTTTTCCAAAAATACAAATTGTCCAAAGATGAAAATCTCAGGGTCCATCAGATAGAAACATATAAATAATGTTTTGAACTTCGCTTTAAGGCTGGAAGATGATGCTAAGTGTTGAAAAAACAACTCAAACCCCTTATACAACGACATTCTTATGAATTATGTGAACATGGGATACAAAGAATTACCATTGTCCTATTTCGTAAAGGTGGCTTATTAGGTTATCCAATTTCGATATTACTCCTTGCTTTACCGACAATCAACAGATGCACGTTTATTATGCCGTTGGTAAAGAAAATGCTTCGACTGTAGATTCTTCATTCGATCCTTAGTTCATCCTGGTCGGTTGCGAAATAGCGTGCTAACGGCGGATTATCTAATCTCGGAGTCCAACAGATTATTGAATGAGATTTTGGATCGTTAGTTCAGAACATAAGAATTCTGACTGCAATCAATTATTTATAAATTCATTCCAACATTTGTGTTAGAACCAAAACAAGTTGAAAAAGCTGTTAAAGGATTTATTGATCGGTACGGCAAAAGATTATGGAGGTTGCGTATGACCAGAAATGAAGTTCGTTTCAAAGTTGAAGACCCTACATTAGGAACAAGTTATCCTTTACGTGTCATCATTTATAATGTCTCCGGGTATGTTATTAAAGTAGAAACTTATCAGGAAGTGAAGACAGAACTTGAAAGCTAGGTCCTTAAATCAATTGGCGACAGG